GAGGCCTTCAGGTCCAGCACCAGCCTCTGCTAGAAATATACATCAACTACAGCAGCCCTGAAGACACATTCCATGGCGAAGTATCAAGTCAACCTCCCCTGGCAATAAGCACAAGCAACACTGTGCTATTGTTGATGGAATTCTGCTTAGCCCACTGTCCCACGCAGATGGCAAAGTTTATGGGATGGATCATCGTGAGCTGCTGAATAAATAGCGCCCTTCCCTCCCTCCCTCCCTCCTCCAGTCATGTCACCAGGGTCTCTTTGGGCTAGAAAGGGTTAACACCACAGTTTGTAAAAAGTTTTGAAATAAAAAGGTAACATACAGCCTTAAAATGTCTAAACTGCAAACAATGGTGGAGTTAACTGAAAAGCACGTGCCCCAGGATAGTACATGCGTACGAGGGAGAAACTTAACACTTGGGTCTGCTCGTCTTTACACGTTGGGTGTGTTTCTTGCAGTTGGAGTATTTTGTAAGGAATATTCAGCACTTGGACAATGTCTCTTTCATCTCATCCAACAAGTTGCTAAGCAGGGTGGAATCATTACACTTCCCATCTATGGATACAGAGTTCTCTCCCTTGGAAAGAAAAAAGAAATCTATTAGTTCCTCTTTTAAGAAGGGATAATTTTATTTGCAGCCAAGCTCAGGGACTGGGATCAGTCAGTGAAGCCTGCACAGGATCAGAGCAGGCTCAGCTGAGAGGACAGCTTGGGGACAGCTCGGGGAAGCCACCAGCGCTGCTACTACCCACCAGGTATATGCTGGGCAACAGAAAGACCACTGGGAGCTACGAGCACGGTAGCAGCTCAGCGCAAACTGATCCATGGGCCAGATGAATTCATCTGCCCATGGTGTTCCCAGGGGATTCAGACACGAGGATTTCCCTCTCTCTAAGCCAAGGAAGGCTGCAGCTTCTCTCAGGTCTTGTCTCAGTGTTACAATGCTCTCACCTTTTTTACCAGTAGGCAGACGTGATGGCCTTGGATAGAACGACTGTACATGGATGCACACGAATCAACGCGTTCCACAACTATAAAGAGAAAAAGGAATTTTCATTTAGTGGGACAACTTTTAATACAGGGTTTACTTCCCACGAAGAAGAAGCTCTGCTTTGCCTGGCCTCGAGGAACAGCAGCTTCTACTGAGGGAGGGGAGGAGGAAGTCAGGGTTAAGATGATGTATGTGCCTGGCTCCTCCTGGCTCCTATCTGGGGTATCTCACAATCATGAGGTTAGACGTTTGTCTTTTAATTAAGCTGCAACTGTTCTGTGGCAAAAATGCTGATCAGAATGTAGATCTCTTCCCCAAAAATATTTGCAGCAAGGCAACATCTAAAGAGTTCACCAGAGCATGATGAAACAGCCATTTGTTTTGCTTCATCCAGTACTTGTGTTTTAATTATTAAGTCCAGAACGGAATAGCTTAAGCTCTCCTTTACTGAAACAAAGCACTGGGGAAGAGGCAGGCTGAAGCACTGGAGATCAAACACACCCTCCAGAGAACAGTTACAGCCCTGACTATAAGCAAGCTGCTCCTGTGGTACCTGGCATGTGCCTTGCTGGGCTGGAGGAAAGCCACAGGGACAGAAGGAGTGTTCCTTCTGAAGAACATTGCATGCTTTGATGTATTATAGAACTGGAAAAAACTCCTCTCCCAAATTTATTTAATCTAGCCATCACCTCCTCCTGTCACTGTTGAGGCCACAGAGTCTTGCACTGGCCAAGCAAAGCAGAAATCTTAGAACATGGAATTTTGCAGAAGGTTTGCATCAAAAAAGACTCACCTGAAAAATGGTGATGAAAACAGATCTTTGCCAGTAGATGTTGGAAAGAAATGCTAATTCCATCTACTTTAATAGAGTTCATGTGCAGATCTCCAGACTCCAGGAGCTTGGCAAAAGCATCACTGCAAAACAGGAAGAAAAGTAAACACTTCAACTAGAAATTCAAGTGAAATCTGCCACATTAACCCCATGCAGACCTTAAGACATCTCAGGATGCAGAAGTCTAAGTACTACCAAGCTCTAGGAAAATGGGTTTACAGCAAATGTGGGAACCATACTCCAGACTGGAGTGACCTCAACTAGAGCTACTTCCACAGGACCTCTGCCAGCCCACAGGGCACATAGCTCCCTCTTCAGAATGAGTAAGTTCATGAAGTTAAATTGCTGGACATATTTTGACAGTCAAACATTACACAAGATAACCAAACTGTGACCAAAGCAATCACAAGCAGCCAAAGTCAAAAGCATGCTGTGTATCTTGCAGATGGCCTGCAGCCAAAGCTCAGCTTCACATGGGTGGCAAAAGCACCAGTGTTGTGCTCCCTAAGTGGCACTTACCTATAGCAAGGCGTCGTGATCAAGTATGAAGCGCAACTGAAGTGCAATTTGAAATCTAGTTTTTCATGGGTTGAACCTTCATCATTCTGCAACAGGTCAAAGGAAAGGAGATGAATGGGAGCCCTGAGGCAGCTCAAGGAGGCACCACCCCCACCTACCAAACAGGCATCAAGGAAGACTTTAGGGCTCAATTCCCTTTGATATACCCTGGCTGGGCCTGAAGGATCAGTCTGAGAACAAGCATCACGCTACAAGATCGGGCCACTCGGAGAAGAGATTTGGGCAGCTGGGTTGATACCTACACCTACAGCAGGTAAGGGACACAACTGGGGGGAGTGGGCTGCATTTTTGATTGCACTCTGCTGAAATATATTGAGCAGACTGAGTTTAAACTAACACTTGGAGGTGTGGCTTTACAGCTCACTGTTTCCCAAGCAAAATAATAAATGAATCTCTCCAGGTTCTCAGATACCACTATTAAGAAACCCTTAAAATAGAGAACATGGCTGGCCCAGAAGTAGCCACAACTGTCTCCATTCACTCCCTTCAAGCAGCTCCTTCATTAATAAATTTTACTGAAACCCACATAGTCTTGTACAGGTCAGTACTCATTAAACACTGCCTCATTAAACTAACCTCACTCTTGGGCTGGGTTTCCATCCTTAGTAACTGTATCTAGTTCTTACTATTTTTCCAGCCTTGTACCAGGTAGCAGTGTCCAACTGATCTTCGGACAACTGAGATCAGAAGAGAGAGAGACTGGGTTCTCTCTCACTAGTTGGTTGACCTCCTCTCCCCAGTAGATGCACCACTGCAGTGAGTTTCTAGCTGACAATGTGGCATGTTTCAGGCTGCATTGCTCACACACTGCCAGGAATGACAATTTAGGACATGCTTACGCAGTATTCAGGACACTCTTTGCACGAGATGTCATGTAAAAATACTTCTCACATCACAGAATGGGCTGGTGCAGCAGAGATGAAATGATGCCTAAAAAAAAGCTCTAAAGCAGTGCTTTCCACCCAAGTCAAGCTCCCTTATGCAGTTCCAAAGGAAGCAGAAGCACAGAGTTTAAAGCTGCACTTACTTTGACTATAAAGGACAGTGTTCCTTTTAACTTCTGAGCCATAACAATACTCTGAAGTGTAAACACAAACTGGGCTTCATTAGAGATTCCTAGCATGAAGAGAGGAGAAGAAGTCAGGTCAGAAAATAGTTTCCATCTCTAAGTAATGGTTAAAATAAACCTATCAGTAGCAGCTAAGCTTTATGTACTGACTATTTTTGAACCAAAGTTTAAAGTTTTCCATGTAGCTGGAAGAATTAGATGCACAAATCCTGTTGTGACTTAACTGTTTCAGCACTTAGCTCTTGGGTGTTGGAAAGCAGCAGTGATAGCTGGCATTTGGTAGAGGTTGAGTGAACGTCTGGGTAAAGTATGTCACAGGGGCAATAGATTTCAACTGTGTAACTGCAAAAATATACAGCTTTCCAAGTATTTGTCAGAACTAAATTGAGTTCTAATGGTTCTGTGTTTTTCTATTAGTATACATGGTCTGTATCAAGAACTGCCTTATACAGAATAAAAAGAATACCCCACTCCTTTTCATGGGGGATCAAAATACACCCTGAAGCTGCTAAATCCCACATGACCTCTGTGAGCTGGGTCAGAATTCACATTAACTCTTTGGCAAAGGAAGTGAAGTTCAAAGCAGTTCAGGGATTTGACTGTACTACATATGAAGCCATTATCCTTCATCTATGTCTAGTATTTCCTAAGGGCTCAGCTCCCCATCCAAATAAGCACAAAAATATCACAAACTTTCACTGCATGTTCTGCTGTTTTAATGGCAGAGGCCACAATAGCTTGAGACTAAATCCAGAGCAGGTTCTAATGGCTCATGAACCTATAAACTTTGTTTCCTTTTAAATCTCGTAGCATGCTCCTTCTGAATTTCAGATTCCTGGTGATGCTGGCATGTTCAAAAGGTGCGCCAGCCCACAGACACCTGAAAAATAACCCAAGACATTCTGAGTCCCAGCCCTACATTAGGCTTTGCTCTCGTTGTACAGAACCACCTGCATTTACAGCCATACTGTAAGGAGGTGTATCCTGTCCAGTGAACTGTGGGAAAGCCTGGGAACACCCAGGCAGAGAGAGGGACATGTCTTTCTGGAAAACAACAAGTGGCAGGAATAATTCTTTCCACAGGAGGGCAGTGCAGGACTAGACATACTCCAAGAACGCTGTGCAAAGCTGCGTACCAGGGGGTAGCTGGAAGGGCACGGGTATCCCATCATGTACGGATGATCCTTCTGGTCGGAGCATTTTAGTGTTGAGAGAGTCCAGGACATTTAGTTCCATGCTCTTAAGGAAGCTAGTGCTTTTGTTCTCAAAGATAACAGAGACAGTAACTTGACTATCATTCTGGAGGTTTCCTTGAATATCGTAAGTCTGCAAATGAAGAAAGTCACAGGAAGATTCAGCAACTTCAAACCACAGAGCAGAGCACCAAAGAAAACAAGCTTCATAAAGGTCATTTGGTACAGTTACAGGGTAATGGAAAGCACACTGGTGATCAGCTCCACAGTGCTGCTAAGTAGTGAGAAATGAACAACTTAAAACCTTATGAAGTGGGACATCCAGAGGAAGGGAAATAGAGCTTTGTTTTATTTCTACCCCCTGGGATTTTAACAGTTCTTCAGTTAAACGTTGTCTGCACAAAGCCCTATCCTATCCCCAGGGTATCCTCTCTTTTTCTTAGAGAGCACAGAAAGAGAAGACATCTGGAAATGAACACCAAAACACTCACCATTTTAATGTATGGATTTTCAGCAAGAAGGCGGTAACTGGACATAGGCTGAAAAACAAGAAAGAAACAACAGTTGCAGTGTAACTATTTGTTCTGAAAGGAACTGTCATTCTTCTTCCTCCCAAAGCAGTTTCGCTCCTGCCTTTTTCCCAAGGCAAGGGCTGCCAGTGCACAGGAACTCACTGGTAGTGGTTCATCATCTAGTGTTCCATTCTGCACTGACTCGGTTGTCTCCTCCTCGCTGTGATGACTCTTCTTTTTGGATTTCTTTTTATCCTTTGATTTCTCTTCTTTCTCTTTCTTGTGCTTTTTCTTCTTATGTTTGGAGGATTTCTATCAAGGAGAACAAGAAACTACAAGAAACCCTTGAAGAAACCCGTATTTCTAGCGAGTACATCATGACCCCTCTTACCAACCTTTCAACTCTGGACTCTCGCTCTTTGCAGGCTTCTACTACTGCAGAAACCCAAAAGAGTTTCCATTCCTTAAACCCCAGCCGTCATTCTTCGTTGGGTCCCAGTTAACTTGCTCTCATACCTTAACCCAAAGCAGCCTGCGATCAGCAGGCAGCCAAATCTCTTCAACTGTTTGGAAGCTCAGCTTTAAAACTGTGACCTGACCCTCATCTCAAGGAACAGCCACACTTCTTCCTATGAAGCATTTAAAGCTCCTCGAGGATGTGGCATTCCACTGCTGCCCATCTGCAGGTCATCATTATAATGAACAGGATGCTGTTGGTAATTCCTGTGTGCTTCTCTTAATGAACGCTACGAGAACATGGCTAAGGGTGTCAGCAACTTAAACCACTTACCTTTCCTTCATCCTCCTCCTCTTCATCTGGCTCTTCCCTTTCTTCCTTTTTTATCTCTTGAGGTTCGGCCACAAGGGCAGCACCCACTTCAGGCTCCCTCTGAGTAGATTAGCAGAAGGATTATGACATTAATGGAACAACTGAATCCTACACCAAAAGAACAGTGACCCTCCCCCAAATTGTTATGTCAAAAATTACATTAGACTAACATGACATCAAGCCTTCATTTCATGCCTCTGAGACCCAGCTAATATGATCACCTGAGGATGAGATTAAAGAGACTTCCTCCAAGGAATTCATCCCTTTATATTCCCTGTCTCTTCCTCTAAAATGTCCCATCAAAATTCATGAAGCTTTTGCTTTCAGACTGTGTCTCTCCTGTCTATTAATATTGTGTCTAGCTCACACAAGGCAAACCATACAGTAATCTAACATTAAACCTCACCAATATTAAAATCCACCAAGCCTGTAGCTGCATCTGCATTTTTATCCACTGATCTGCACAGCAGAACGAGCCCGAAACCTCCCATTGCAGTGTTTGTAAATGGGGGAGATAAAATGTCATTGCTTTGCAGCAGTAAGTTGAGGAGATGAAACCCAGCTTCCCCTTCTCTCCCATGGCATGACAAAGCACTCATATCCCAGCTAAGATGCAATGGTAAGGGAAGGCTTCCTGTGATGTGGCAACATGTCTACCTGTGGCTGGGTACTGGAAGCAGGCAGTGGAGTGGTGGAAAGCCAGAAATCCAAGTCTTCCCCCTGAATTTCAAGAGAAAACAAACCCATTATGGTTTAGTACTGTTCCTAAAAAAAACCCCAAACAAAACAACAAAAATAAAATCACTCCAGAACGCTCACATACAGATCTGCAATACATTCAGAAGCAAGTATTTCAAGAAGCTCAACTTCAGCTTTTGAGGACACTTCCAAACCTGGACATAGCTGAGAGTAACTGCATATCACCTACAGGTCACAATATCTACAGGCAATCAAAGCACGTTGGCTGCATCCTAGAAGTGCATCTCAGCAGAGCAGTTAACAAGAAGGACACTTCAAGTCTTCGAAGTAACTGACAACCATCAAGTTTTTATAACTGAAAGATTCTGGAGTATATGGGGGATAGGATGTAGAACAAAAGGGAGTTCCTGGTATTTTGCTAAAAAGTTACCCATTTTAAGAGCAGACCAAATATCAGGAAACTCAGCTTCCAAATTAGCTCTGGTGTATCTGCTGTGTAGGCTGCAGTAAGCTGAATTCTGCTAACTTGTAAGGCTAAATAAATGTTACTTTTATTAACAGAAATCTTTAAATACCTGCTTTTACAGTTGTAAAATAATTAAGGAAAGGTTGAAAACATTCAGCTGTTTGAATTGTCAAATGTGACTGTTCCTAAGCAACAAAGAGAACACAGCAGTAAATATGGCCCATAACAGCACTTTTAAGACAATGCAAGTCTTGGCAAATTACCTTTTTTTCCTCTTCCTCCTCTACTACCTTTTTCTCTTTCTCTTTCTTCTTTCCTTTCTCTCTCTCCTTTTCTTTGTGTTTCTTTTCCTTCTTTTTGGGTTTCTTGCTTTTCTTCTCTACTAGGAGAGCTTCTGAGTCTGGTGACTTTAGGGTCTCAACGTTCCTGTGTCTCTGCACTGGCAGCTTCTCACTGTCTGCTAAGGGTCTTAAAAATAAAGAGACCATTATCCTTCTGCAAACAGTCTTCCTTAGCTCAGATTATCTGCTGGGTGTCCAAGACAAGGCATGCTTTGTTTTTAAAGAGTTAGGCCCCAAATCTTAAATGGGCACATAATTCTGTACCTGAAGTTTACTTATGTAACTACAGACACTGTCCTTACGGCTTAGAAGTTCACAGAAACAATTTGAAGGTGACAGAAACAAGCTCTTGCTGACACCTGATCACTCCTAAAAGTTCTAACTACAGACTTGCAGGCTGAATAACACCTATATACATACAGTGTTATGCTGCATTTCTGTGGGACCACTCTCAAAGAAAGAGTGAAGATGTGAAACAGGAGGAAGCATTTGCAACAGTGAGGAAATTCAAGCAGTGGAATGACAGTATGGCTCAAACAAGACATGTTGTTTGTTGCTATTGTTTTAAGTAAGAAATTGTTTGATTTTGGAAGCTAATGCTATGAATCTCTACAGTTACATTTTAAAAGTTGTGTTTAATTTCAGATACCCATTTCAATGAGCAGTAGTTCAGATTTACACTGTGTCCCAAACCAGTTGCTTGGGGGGAAAAAAACCACCACAGGAATTTCTCCATTCTTGTCAAACACTGTCCAGAGATCAATGAGAAGTTCAGTCATTGCCTCTTCTTCTATTTCTACAGCTTTTGCTTCACATTAATTTTCATGTTTGAGCTGCAAAAGCAGTTCAAGAATATTTCTAATGGCCTCATCTGCCTTAATCTTTTGCTTATATTTCAAGAACCACCAGAGCAAATGCATTTTACACTTTGAAACAGACATTATAAGGACAAGATGGGCCCTGTCTGAACAGTAAACAGATCTCATCTTTAAGCTACCTCCCATACACCTGTACAGGAACAGGGATTGGTGCTGAAAGTCAACGATCTCACACAAATTTGAGGGTGATTTTAATAGCTTCACCTCCCTTCAAGTACTTTTGCTGTCCACTGAAATCAGCCAACCTGACAAAGAGGGTCAACCACTTATAGTGATGTGTTCTTACCTGGAAGGCTTCCCTGAAACCAGACTGCATGTGAGCGTGACACAGACATAGCAGTGCAAGCACAGAAAGAAAGAGAGAGGACAGAGACATGAGAAAACACGGCAGGAGAGCACAGTGACTCCTACAAAATGGAAGGAGAATGGATGGAAACAATACAAAAGTCCAAAGATGCCTCCTGGAGCCTAGTGTTCAGGAACTGCTCTGCTCAGTGTTTTCTACACTGTTGAGGTGTACAATTCGATTTGAGAACTGCAGAGAATGGTACAGACTTTAAAGTTTGCAGAGAGAGAGGTACTACACATGCACACACATGCCTGCACAGGCCTCAGAACTTCACAGGAGGCATCCATGGGCCATAAATCAGCAATTATTTTTAGCGTGGTGATTTTGTACAACAGCAACTAAAACCCCTCTATGTGCAATACTTAACAGCCCACTGCTAATCATCACATGGCATGCAGGGACCCAGTGTCTGCTGCACTGCAGCCTGGGGTGCTCATATGTGAACAACTGCAGCAGCTGAATGGGGACCAGACTTGTCAAAGTTAGGATGGGCAGTTTATTCAATCAATCATATTAGAACAACATTTTTCAACAGTGGAACCACCCATTGTCCACAGGGCAATGGGGATGCTATGAACTGGCTGGTACTGGTCAAATGATCACAACACAGAGCACACAGGCTTGCCATGTGCACAGTGCATCAGAGATGAACACAGCTGAAAGCAGGTCACACTCAGTGCCAGCGCGGGCTAGATCAGAGATAACACGACCCCCAAAGCTCAGACTAACTCACATTTGATCCCAGCCACACTGCCTGAGCTTTCCAACTCCATTCAGGTACACAAAATTATTCTCCTGCTCTTTCCAAGCCCCCTGCTACTGCAGCAAATTAGCTTTTAGCAGCTATGCTGCAGTGGGAACCCACACCTGGATGATCATCTGAGGTTACATCCAAGACACACCAACATTAGTCTTCTCACCTAGTGGACTGTAGATACCTAGTGCCTTTGCCTGTTGAGCCCCAGACCTGCCCTCATGCATTTTGGTTAGCAATTAAGTAAATTCACATACAAGACTGTCACTTACTTATCCAGATCTATATCAAGTGCCTTATATGGATCATTGGGATCTTTGTCATCTTCATCACTGGGCAAAGCATTCTGCAGGAGACAGAAAGAGACTATCCACTGAAGCAGCAAACCACAGGCAACTTCAGTACTAAAGCTTTACATCACAGAATCACAGAATGGTTGGGGTTGGAAAGGGCTTTAAAGCTCATCCAGTTCCCACCCCCTGCCACGGGCAGGGACACCTTCCACTAGAGCAGGTTGCTCCAAGCCCCTGTGTCCAACCTGGCCTTGAACACTGCCAGGGATGGGGCATGACCCAAACCAGTTTAAGATTAACCCTGGAACAGGCCAGCTTGCAGTCAGGCACAGTAAGTTATAGGAACAATGCACTGTAATGCAGCATCTGGCTACAAGATTAATATAGAACAGAAAACTATTCTTCATAAACTGCAAGATTTGAATTGCTGCTGTTGGGTTTTGATTAAAGGAAATTTTAGGAACAAATACAGATGACATCATTAGCATGCACAATTAATTACAATCAGCTGCAAACCTGCTGACTAGACAGCAAGTTAACGTCAAAGTGAAGCAGCAGAGCATAACAAACGAAGTCACTATTTGGACTGTGTTACTTTTATAGCAGAGATGCACGTTGTTTTGTTGGGTTTGGGGTTTTTTGGTTGGTTTTTAAATAGCTTCAGTGCCAATTTTTGTCTTTTTGTGCACAAAGAGACAATCACTTCTGCTGCTGCAAAGGACAGCCAAGGACCATCTCAATCAGTCACTTCCTAAACAGCTTACAAGAAATCAGAGCTCTTGAACTGCAACAATGCAGACTGGCTGGCAGTTCTGGGGGAAAGTTCTCTCCAGAAGAGCACACAGATAAACCCCACAGCTCTGCCCACCAACCAAAGCAGCTGACCTCTGGCATCTCCTCTGTGATGATATCGACGTGGTGAGCTGGAGCAATGTCCTCCTCACTCTCTGTGTGCAGGGAGTTATGGCGATGGTGTTTACCCCTCTTCTCCTTTTTCTGTTTTTTCTTTTTCTTGTCTTTCTCCAGTTTCTGTTTATGCCTTCGCTCTTCTTCCAGTTTCACATACTGGTCAGACATAGGCATTCAAGAGGAAGCCAAACTGCTTTCAGGCTACAGTCCACATGGACACTGATCACTGAAACAATATGTCAGGAGTGAACCTCACTTATAGTTCTCAGAATTAGAAGGATCATGCTTCCCTCTCATCTCACAGCCCCTCTAGCACCAGCTGTATTACCACACTCCATCTCTCCAGAAATAGGACAGAGCTCTAGCCTGCTCCCTGTCTCTCGCCCACATTAACTGGATTACAAATTGCACCTAAACAATGATATTTTAAGTAGAATTGCTACTATTTCTGTACTGACAAGCTTCCACCCTTTATTATGTAAACCTTAAACAGGTGCACTCGGAACTCATTGCTTGCGATGTACTGCACTTCATCAACAGCTTTTCAGTGCTGTATCACTCCTTACTGGATACACAACTATCTTTTGACACTTGAAACAAGATATTAAAATAGTATCTCTACCATTAGACTCCACTTAATGTCTCCTGATCACCTTCATTAGCCCTTTAAGACATTCCAAAGGTGATTGTTATCTACACAGAACAGTGGTTATGTCTCCTGATCACCTTCATTAGCCCTTTAAGACATTCCAAAGGTGACTGTTATCTACACAGAAGTGGTTAGTTCAGATATTACAGACTTGGCTGCATAATATATTTAATCACAGAATTACTGCTAATACTATCTTGAGAGGAACTGCACTTGGACTGCAAAGTACTATTTTCAACACATGTGAGTTTGGAGGATGCATTTAAGAGTTTAATGAAAGTAGGCTTGCTCCTTGCCTTGAAACACCTAAGGAAGAATTCCTAAGCAGGAATTATCACTTCTGCTTAACAGAATTTCAGTAATTCATTTTAAAGATTAGCTGCATTTACCTGGAACTTTTAAGGGGACAGAAAGGTCAATCTGGACCACGGGAATATGTTCCACACCTGGAGTGTCTTGGTATCGCTGGGAAAAGGAAAACCTGTTACATTCTGAGCACTGGCAGATACGAACCTACATGAACAGATGCATTTCAAACCAGCAAGCAGTTTAATCCTTTAAGTGAACATTCTAAAGGATAGGAATGAAATGGCTCAGTACTAAATTCTGTGTGGTAGCAGAGTGTATTTTAAAGCCAGCTGATAACTACCACAAAAGAGCCCGCTTTTATCTACATTTTTTTAACCTGTTACTGCCCTGAAGTTGTAACTCCCTGGAGAGTTTCTGGTTTGTGTTTTATTTCTAATAACTTTCAAAAGGTAAATTTTGAAATTTGAGTTGAGGAAAATGGGACTATCCATAGCATATGCAGGGAATAAAGCAGGTTCTTTTCCTAAAAAAAGAGGTTAAGAAGCGACCAAAACAACCTTTTGATCTATAAAACACACTGCATATTCAAGAGGAGCATGTTCATAGTTCACTCTCTCCACTGCTCTTAATGAAGTGCCCAGCAATCTGAACCCAGTGTTGGGACAAATTACCTGCACAGGAATCTGTGACACAAGGGCACAGAGAAGTGGTTCTCTACAGCTTTTAGAGAGCCCTTGCTGAAATCTAAACTCTGTGCTTTCCACAACAAGTTAATTCAGACTGTTCCAAACTACTGTGTAATGGGAACTGGGACAATTACTACTTCCTTATTCCTAAGCTGGAGGTCTCCAAGAGGTTCCCAGAAAGCTGGCTGCTCTTGTGACATTAGGTCATTTGTGAGTTTCTTAGCACAAACTAATTTATAAAAATAGTAGGTAGCCCCTGCAGTCAGCACACTATTAAAAGGGATCAGAACTGTAGTGGGAATAATCAGAATGTCCCAGAGGGAAGCTGTAGCTCCAACGTTCAATGAGCCTTCACACAATTCTATCAGGCCAGCAAGATACTTGAATTCAGACTCACGCACCTTCTGTGGGGAAGGAGAGCTTTTAATGTAAAATGGGTTGTTTGCTTGTTCTTGTTTCCGCGCTTCTCGACGCTAAAACAGAAGAGGATTTGTAGTTAGAATGTCTGTTCGTAAGCAAGGAGAGACAGAAGGCAAAGTGCAAAATGCAATCTCCCTGAATTTTTGGAACAATACCTGCAAAAAGACTCCAACATAGTGGCTTGTGCATGATAAACCAGTTTTGAGTTACAAGACATGCTAGGATACAACTACAGGTACTTTTACTACTATAACTAACATTCCTTAGAACACCCTTTCTTTGCTTTTTAATTGTAGACTAGAGAGAGCAGTTGCAAGATAGAGACAGTAACTCCCAAAGACCAGATTTTGATGGCAATTCAGATGTTCCATTACATTTTTGCAAAAAGAGGAAAAAGCGAAGCTCTTTATCAAAGTTTTCTCTATGAAAAGAAAAAGGTCAGAAGCAGGAAAGGTGGTACCACCACTGCACACATTACAGGAATACATAGAAGCTGCTGAAGTCCACAAGCAAAGACGCTGCTGCTGCTTCTGCTGCTGCTAGAGAGCACGCAGAAGTACACCAATGGAGGTACTTAAGAAACCAAATAGGTGCAGAGCCCAGCACAAGTGTCCATCCTCAAGCCCTTGTGCTTCAAATGAACTGCACTAGAAACCACAGTTCACAGGTCACATTTTTACAAGAGCTCAGAACTTCTCACAAAAGCCAAGCTTTTTTAATATCTTGTTTCCATCTGGACAAGCTAGGCAAGCTGGACTGACAAGAGAACTCTGTATCTGATGTGTTCCACAGTGCCTAAAGCAATACCTGTATTCAAATACATGTATTTTGTTCACATCAGATCATCAGATTCCCTGAGCTGTAGAAAGCAGAATGGCTCTGGGTGCACAGAGAATCCACAACAGCTCCAACTGCTTACAACATCACTACTGAATTATGTAGGAAAAAGCACTTTAACATTCACTCACTCTGGCCAGTTCCTCTTCATCTATTTCTGGCTGTCTATGCCTGGAATGTCTTTGTTCCTCATCATGAAAAATTGTTTTGGGCTTTTCATCTTCAGACTCACTGTCTGATGGAGGTTCATTGATCCAGGCATCAAGGTCCAACCTGGTTAAGAATTACAATAAACAAACAGCTTGACCCAGTACCCCTGAGTATTTCAGTGCTTCTCATTATATATTTAGCTTTATTATTTAAGAGTTTAAAGGTTTAAATAAGGCTTTGGGAGAGAGAAGGAACCCTACCCCTCCGGAACTGGTACTTTCTTCTGTGCTTTAGGAGCCACAGGGTTCAGCTCACCAGCAAACAGTGCTATTACTTCCTCAGCTACTGGTACTTCTTTTACTTGTAGCTTCTGAATGTATTTTATTAGCTGCAAGATGCAAGAAGCCTAAAAACGAATGCAAAGTAATTTGAGAATGAATATCAACAAGCTGAACAAAAATCTAAAAAAAAAAAAAAACCCAAAGAAAATCAACTGCAATGCAAGTCAGCAGAAGATACTGTTCTATTCCATTAAGGGAATTAAGAGAAGCAGCATAAACTGCAGGTTTAGGACAAATGTAAAATAATCCATGGTAACCCCCTCATCTGGTTGGGCCCTTCCTGTGGCCTTAGCTGCTTGAATCATTGTAAATTTAAATTGCTTTGAGTGAAATGCTTGCAAGCAATCTGCAGAGGTGGTATTGAACTGGAACAGAACCTGGGCTCTGACATGAAATGTCAGCATCCTTTCCACTGCAGCTCTAGAGAGTCTCTTCACACAGTTAAACAAGCACAGAATTAATGTGCCACAGCCTTGATAACTGCTTCTATAGAACGTGCACGGCCACAGAACATTACATGTCTGCTGCAGAGAAACAAGAGACCTGGTATGATCAATTCCAAAATATTTTTGATCTCTTACCCTCTCCTGAACTTCTAGATCGGCACTTTGTACAAACTGAGGCAACTTCTCAATCATCAGCTGCGTGATTTCCTGAGCTCCTTCCTTTTCCCCAGCTTGCTCTTTCTGCTGCAGGATGGATGCATAAAGCTTCACCATGTTCTGCACGTAAACTGCCTGGATGTGGCCTGGGAGAGTTGTCACTTTAGGCCTCAACATTGCTTCTAAAGTTTGGTTTGCTTCCTCGAGGTGCCTATAAAGACAGAATGGACAGATGAAAGACAGCAACTGAGAAATTTCAACCTTTCAGTCTTCAGGAGACTGAAACAGAGTTTTGTTTTTTTTTTTTTGTTTTGAAAATGTGATTAAACTGAAAAGAGTATGTTCTCTTGCTTCTTAATCTACACTTTTCCTTGCAGAACTTCTTTAATTAGATCAAGATTTGAGCTGCACCAGTGTTTCCTAAAAAATACCACACCTAGTATGTGAATCTTAACTGGAACCAGTGTTCAGAGTGGCAATTACAAGAAGAGACACCAAGCCAGATGACAACGGGAGACTACAGGATCATGTTCTGTCCAACTTACCAAAATGAGCATGTGTACCTGCACAATCATTTCGTTAGCTTTAGGGTGCATATTCTGAACTATCCTTCCCAAAAAACACGTTTCAGTGACCAGAATCTTTGTCTGAAAGAAGCCACTCAAAGCGTGTCAGGTTTTGTGTTCGCACTTACTCAGAGAACTCCCCACATATCCAAGCAGCAGCATAAAGCACCTCACAGATCCCATTTCTCTGGGTGTTGCTGGCTATGAGATGAGCATTGTCCAGAAGCATGGCCATTTGAGAAACTGCAAATTTACGAATAGCTTTAACTCTGATGGCTACATCTAACATCTGAGCTGCTATAAGGTGCCCATGCCGTGTGCCTTCCAGTCGGGTCAGCTCCACCAAGATGCTGATGTACCTACAAAAAGTGAAAGGGATGCGATTTTATCAGCAGATCAAGTGTTACCGTTGCTGATGATCTCAAAAAATGACACATAAAACCACTGACCATTCAAAATTTGTGATATATTGATAATTGGACTGACTACAAATATCTATGATTTTGGTCAGCAGCTCATCCCGGTACGTTGTCCCTTCTGCTTTATCCACATGAATCATCAGTTTCTTCACTATCTCCATCAAGTTCTTCTTTGATACCTGTTAAAGAGTTATTGAAGGGTTGAACTACAACAGCCATTTCCCATACTGTCAAGTCCTTCTAATTCCATTAAAGCACCTGCCAACTCTTTGATGGGCCTGTGTCATGTGTTAACAAGGAATGAGAACCACCCCTCTAGGTCCCAGCTTCGGTCACAATCCAAAAAAGAACCTGTTAATCTCTATTCAATGTTGTTATTAAAGAAGAACCAGTACAAGTATGCAAGACCATGCTGTGTCAGATGTTTTACTTATCATATGTGCCAGAACAATCAGGGAGTTGTTATCACAAGACTAGTGGGGGAGGCGGGAAGAGGAAGTTGCATGGGTTTTTTTAAGTGTCAGCCTCCTAAAAGGCCACAGGGGCTAGAGAGGAAAGGAAATACATGCAGCAACATACCATGCCATACAGGAGATCTAAAGCTCTGAGTCGGATAGACTCATCTTTGTCATCCAGACACTGGAGAATGAGATCCTTGTGAGACTGAACTGACTTAGGATGTGTTTTCAGGATTTTGGACATAGCTAACAGTCCCAGGTATTTCACTGTGAAAGACAAAATAAAACTTCTTTCCAAATATAGAAACACTGTTTTGTGTTGAGCATGAGATCTTGATACCACGTGCTTCTACTGAAAGCAATTCAATACACTTGAATAAAAAGCCATGATGAGAAAAAGCATTTTTGAGAAACAGTGCACCACAGAATATGGTCTTTAATGTCGTAATTCCATATAAAGGCACATAATTACATTTATAATCTTAATCACAGTCATCTTGCATCTCAAGTTTTATCAGTGATTTAAAAATATGTATTTAATATATAGAAACTATAGGGCTTGAGAACAGGCATCCTAGAACGAACACAGCTTTAAAAGCACTGAAGATTGGTGTTTTAAGTTGGAGCCCTATTCTCAGTGGAAAAAATTCAGACGTCAGGAAAAAAGTTTGTACAAAGAAGGGTTTCACAGTGCTCTTTGTAGTCACTAAAATAAGCAAGCACTGACTTTTGCATTTTACTAGTATGCTTACACTGCCAAATATCCCTTGCTACTTTCCAAGCAGCAAGTTTACACAAAGGGAAAACCCCAAGCAGGGATAGAGAACTGGTTCAGATTTACAAGACCACAAAGAGCAGTAATAATTAAACTCATTTGTTTTTAAAGCACTTATTATAAAGAAGTGCTATCAAAAATTATCTCCACATTCACAATCCCAGCAATGTTTCACAACATATTGGGCGGGACAACACTGAACAAGCAGTTTGGAGGAACAGCTCCTGCCTCTAAGACCGCTGCAATTTCTCCCCAGTGGCTGGTTGCTAAAAGCTTCCATGAAGACATGCAACATACTTACAGTTCTGGTCAGAATCTTCTATCAATATCCTTAACTTCTGAACACAAAGCTGAAAAAAAAAGACCACACCATGCTTATTCCAAGCCTTAAAAGTCTTAATTAAAACACAATAATGTGTACTCAATACAGCAGGAAGCATTCTGACCAAGACCCACGCCTCTAGGTAAGAGGGTCTTGTACATTAACAGATTCCAAAACAAAAGGAACCTCTGCACAATTGTATTGACAGCAGCAGCTGAGTAAGAGTTAGGAAAACTCTAAATGAGAAGAATCTTTATTTTAGAGCAAAAGAAATTAGAGACTTTATATAGGAAATGCTTCAGTCCGTAGGACTCCATCTGAGCAAGAGTGCTTCAGGGAGCTACTGCTTTAACTTCTGGCAGAGGAACACGATCCAGTTTCCTCATGGCAGTTGGTGTTACACAGTAGTGCAGAACAAACAGCCCCCACCAAACCCCAGTGCTGTACCTGGATGCTAGCACTGTGATTAGGCATCCCAGAGGACAGAGAGATCAAAACTGAAACACAAGCACACATTAGTATTAGTTAGTATTCCTGTGTTGTGAATGAATGCAACACTAAAGGTCAACAGCTAGCTCAGCTCACAAGGAAAGATGCCAGTTTATTTTGTTCTTTCTCTGTTTGCTTAGATTTTGGGGGGGAGAAAGTTGCCACACAAACTATAGTTTCATATTCTTTAGAAGTAATAACAGCAGTGCAGAGAATAACAGTGTGAAGGTATGAACTGCTGCAAGAGCCAGGTCAAAGCTGCTTTTCATTACGCTTTGCTCTCATTAAGGTTTGGTTTACTGCTATCACGTAGCAGTCAAGACTGTAAATGTGTCATCAGCTACTGTATAGCTGAATTTTTTTACACTTGCACCTCCCTAATGTAATGAGATGCAGCAATGGATCCTGGAGTTTAATGTAATTAGATTTAATCAAGCCAGCAAGAGACTGGAGGCACAAATCAAGTCCCCTTGTTGATTCCATCAGATGTCTGTAAAGCTCTGGCAGCAGACAGCCCTGCAGCAGAGGTGCTGTTACCCTCATAATGCTGCTGTTAAACAGCACAGCCAAGCCAACACCACTGCTGAGCAAGTCACACAGGCTGACCTTGGTGACTAGGAAGTACAGTGGCATTTTGCTCTCCATAATGAGGGCTCCATTTCAGAGAAGGAGGGATGGATGCTCTTGTTTTGGGTCATGAAGAGAGCCGGCAGGTGCAAGGTGCTGCTCTAACGCAGGCACGCAGCTTCTCATCTCATCTTCTGAATCTGAGCTTTACATTACAGCCCCTGAGGTGTCCTGGGGGCGTGAATTCCCCTTTAATCCACAGAATCACCCTGCTGTATCTCAGGGAAGCGCACACTGATGACAACAGAATGAACCTCTATGGTATTTTTTTCCCCCATTATAATGTCCTCTCACATTTCCCTCAAGGAATGAACGATTGAGAAGTGAGTGACAGATCACCCTTTCCTCTTTGAGCTGACCCAGTACAGCAAGTTCCTGCATCATTATCCAAACTACACCCAAGAGACAGGCTTATGGCCCAACTGTGGATGTCAATAACCTTCCACGTCCACACTAAGACAGGAAAAGTGCCAAGTCTGAGCAGCAATACTGTGTTATCCCTTTCTGCCTTTGTTTCTGTCTCACTCCCCATCATGGAGTTTGCATCCCTTCTCCAGAAACTGAAACTGTTAATCAATGATTCCAATCACCTCCTTTAAGGAATTACATCAGGATTTTAAGCTGTGAACTCAAGAGAATTATAAAAGTCTGCTCCTTCATCACATAAGAAAACTTGGTCAAAATTTCCATAAGGCATCAGTCTTTCAAATTCTGCTGCTGGTTTACCTCATAGTTCTAACGACATTTAGGACCTTGCATATAAATAATCACTCATTGTTCATACTTTCAGCCTTTAGTAAATACAATGTAGCTGTAGTAACTTAGCCTTGACTGGTAACAAAGGATTTCAGTGACAGTTATGCAGTAACACATATCAACATTTGCCAGGTGACTTATTTCAGTTATAAAATACATTAAGTTAAAAAAGGTTTACAGATGGCGTTAATTGATGACAAAGTTCATCATGTTTTTTTCTAAGTTACAAATTTCAGTTCTCACCTGCTATTACTGTGTTCACACATTCATATAAGAGAGACATGGCTGAAGTGCTGAAACAGAAATCAAGTATTTTAAATAAGGAATAAAATGGGCACATTTTGAAGAGTTGTCAGCAGTATCTTGGAGCTAGTTAACACCTTTAGTTACACAAGAGGTTGGCAGTATTCTGCTCCATGTACCTTCAAACTAGATGAAATGATTCTCACTTAACTGTTGGGGGAAGGAACGAACATTCATTTTAAACTGAATGTTTAAAAAACAATCTTGGAAAAGCAGCAAGTACCAGCACTGTAACACAAGGAACAGGGAAGGAAGTGGTTACTCCAAACCTCAGCACCAGTTACAGAGCACCGAAGCAATCTTGTCCAAGGATCAAATTAAATTCTCCGTCCAAGGTCAAAAATAAGGCAGCAGATGGAGAACTTCAAGTCTCCCTCTCCAAAAGGAACAGTTCACACCTAAGCAGCAGACTCCTCTGGTGTGCTGGTACACACGTGCTCCTCCCTATAAGCGAGCAACCCATTTTCAACATATGATTTGCCCTAAAAGTTAAATTCCAGACAACTTTTGCCAGCTGAACACACACACAGTGCAATTCTGAGGATTTCAGAGCTACTTACAAATCCTGATCTACACAAGAGGGAAACACAGTGAACCTCACAAGTAACAAAGAAGCAGTCTGCAGAAGCGAGGGCTGCAGAGGCAATGAGCAAACAGCTCTGGAGGCAGACGTCAGCAGCGATACCGTGAAGGTCACCCAGCACACTGGATACCTGACTCCAGCACGTTCAAAGACCATCAGTTTTGTTCCCTGTGCACTTCATGATGGTCAGGGGTGGCCTGCCTTCTGCTGAAGTGATATGAGATCCCCAGTGACTGAATGGAGACCAAATTAAAAAGGGTTAAGTCCTCACAAACAATAAAATGAATGACTACTGTGGGAATTGGTCAGAGAGAGTAGAGGCAGGACTGAAGACATACAGTCCATCTTCCTGCTGTTTCTGGTGAATTTGTATCTACTTGTCACTGCTGAAAAACCCCTCTTTATGTATTTGGATTCCAGGCTGCTGGATGGTCTGCTCTGAATCAGCCTTAAAGGTAAACTGGGAGGATAGACAGAAACTCTTTGGCTTGAGCTGCTCTCATAGCTACACAGATATCCATTTAAATCCATTCATTCCCACCCATCTTCCTGCTCTGCGATGTGAAGAGAAACAACCTTTTAACTAACAACTCAAAAGGTCACACTTTGTTCTCATAACTGCAAAAATACACGTATTCCCTCTAAGACATCTACTTTCTGATTTCAGTTCAGAATTAAACCCAAACCAACGCTGTGATCCCGCTTTAACAAGGGACAAGGAAATAGTTTCAAATTTATCTTGTCTGTATTCAGGACATATATTAAAGGAACCTCTTCCAAAACATGTCTGTCTAAGGCATAAGCAAGAACTTCAATATACTCCTTGTCATGCTGCTTTGGTGGGTAAGGCACTTCCAAAAAAGTCAAGAACCAAATGTGTGGAGGTGAACATAAGAGGCAAATATGCAGCTGAGCCTTTTTTAAGCCAGTGTTTTTATATAACCTCCATAGTCATCTCTGGCTTAAAATGAAGTGAAAGGAAAGCAAATTGCTCCAACTTTCATGTGTGCTTTGGAGAAAGTCATGCTGACAGTCAAGACACCCAAAACCTTTCCTTTAGGGTGTTTTATCTCACTCAGATTTTTCAGAAATAGTCCTGATGTGATTATCTTTTGATGCTTGAAGCCAATATATTGACACTCAACAAGCACTAGGGAATGTGCCCACAGACCTACCTACTAGGCACTTCACCAGTCCTGAGTGAAGGAAGTGACATCTCTCATACATACCTATGGATGAGGTTGGTCAGAGGCTCAATCAATTTCTTCCCCAGCCTAGGTTCTAATGGAGTAAGAGCACCAAACTATTAAAAAAAGTGCAGACAAGAGAGTGATTTAATAGCTGTTTTTAAACAGTATAAAAACATTATTTCAATTGCAGCTCATTATATTTAAACCAAGCTATACTGAAATATTTTTCTCTTGGGTTATGTTCACAAACATTAGAAGATATTTCTGGTTTCTTTTTATTTGGATTTCATGGTAACTATACCTCCAAGCAAGAAATCTATTTTTGCACCCGAGGTGTTTCAATGAGAGCCCAAATCCTGCAAATGCACATCCAGAATACTTGCCAGTTTTATAATTTTAATGAGAACCCAATTATTGGTAGAGGACGTCATCAGCTTGAAGAAGAGGGGAGCAAGGGAAAGGTAGTTCTTGGGATTGCGTCGAGCCAGCTCACAAATAACATTTACTGCAGCAGACTGCACACCTGGGAAAGAGAGGTGGGAAAAGCAGAAATCTCATCACCACCTTCATTGTAATTGGAAGTTTCTAGTGCAGAACCCCCACAATGAGAGCAGCTAAAGATCCAAGAGGAATGGATCAGCCTCATTAGCTCCCCCCACCCCCCCTGAGGTAGTGAGCTAAACACAAGAATGCAAAAACAAACTGAGAAAGTATTTTATTTCATTTGGGCTATTTTCTAATATATCAGCAAACAGGACATCTGCTTTGGGTCCAGTATGAGAAAGAACAGGACACTGTCAGCCTCCTCTCCCCTTTACTGTGGATAGCTTGTTTGTGGGGCACAGCCAACATTATAATCCCAGCCACCACAATGTTTCTTACACTCCTGTTTCTTTAAAATGTGCTATTTAGACATAAATACAACACACACAAAAAAAATTTTCAAACAATCTGACTGAACAAGTTCATTCCCTTCTAACTGCTCAGCCTCTAAACTGACTGTTCTCAATTTGGAATCTCTTAATGTAGATAGTCTGGGTTTTCTAGCAGAGAGCAGTCCTTTTCTCCACAAAGTGTAACTGGTATTTTCTTCCTCTGCTTGCAGGTGGAGGGGGTGTGTGCTTTGTTTTCTTTAAAAACATTGTCCATGGAAGATATCCCTCACATGCCCACACCAAATCACTCCAGTACATGCAAGGAAATTTCTCCCTTTAAACACAAATGGAAATCAAATGGAGATCACAGAACTGCATCACCCACCAAATTCTTGAACCGAGTGTGCAGTGTTTTGGTGCAGGGAGGGAAGACCAGCACCTTCAGGAAGTGTGAACATGACACAGAGCAATTGCCAAGTTCCCTGTGCTGGAGTGGAATTGCACTGACATAGTAACAAAGGGCCCAAAGAACAGTCTGGACTCAAAGTTTAAAGTGTGAGAAATAAACTCCAAGTGACATGAAGTTATTTTCAATGCATCCCCGGCTAGCCAAAAGCTGCAGCTTTCTAAAAGAGAACAGAGAACAACAAAACCCCAAACCCTGAAGTATTTTCAATAGCCAAGGTAAGTAACAAACCATTAAGCAGCTTAGTCCCATGAAAAGTTAATCCACTGATACAGCTTCAATAGCTTCATGTTTGAAGTAATAAATTTAACAGCATTTTAAAGAATGAATTTTTAATATGGCAACATCTGTCAAAACTCTTATGTGCTCAAACAGGCCAACCAGCACCCAAAAGATGATTACAGCATTTCCCATGTATTCTTCTCTCCACAAGTTCCAAAAGCAGATATACCTATATGCTTTGGAGCAGAAGTAATTCCCTAAAATCCACTCACCAGGATCTGGATCTTCAAGTTTCTCTTTAAGGCGAGGAAATGCGGGACGGAGGGACTCTGGGTATTTCAGAAACACTTTGTACATGATTAACACTGCCTTCTTCCTGATGTAAGGCTTTGTATGAGACATCTGTTCATGAAACAATTGCAGTCAGGCTCTTAGCAAATCTGTGTTTCCAGAGTTCTTCTCAAGGTCCTTATGTCCACTCTACTCTCTCAAAATTTCTTTCTGGGAGACTCAACTACTTTCTGAACACTCAGCTTTGAGGGGAGAGTAAAATAGTGTCAGTTGTCACCAGAAGTAACAGCAATAGTTGAGGTAATCCTCTTGAGCTAACTAAGGTCTGTAAAGGCTCCCGGTAAACCGCACAAGAACTAAACATCAGTTTTCACATGGAACAGTTCTAAATTTAACAGCTATTTACCAGATTTGAACTATTTCACATTCTTTAATGACAGGAAAAAATGATTTCAATCTTATCAACTCACCAGTGTCATGATGTCATTTGCCAAGTCCCTGGCAAGATCTGGAGTAACAAAACAGGACAAGCCAGTCAGTGCAACTCCAGTATCATACTGGTTAGGGCTACTCAGATCCTAGAAAAGGAAAAACAGGCTCAAAAATTTAAGATCACAAAGGATGTTGAGCAACAATTTTCTCAGACCAATGTTGTTCACTCAATACACATGAAGCAGAGGTCTACTTCACGGGAGGATTTATGTCAACTCTTAACAGGAAAGGCCTCCAACACCTGTAAAATGCAGCCAGCCTGGGCTTAATAATGGGCATAATTAATCCTAATTATGCAATATCTGGATACTGCAGCATTAGAGCAATCACAGACACCATCCCCTGGTGGTATTTCAGGACGGAAAATAAGATTTTAAAACTCTTGATATAATCATGAACATCTTTAAAGTCCTAAAAACGTGGTATTAAATATTAACCCTGCTGGGTCAAAGCCCAACTGTCACCAGCTTGTTGAATGCTTAACAGTGAGTGAATAGCTCCATCTATTAGAGAAATGAGATTACTTCCCTTCCAAGCTGTTGGCAGCACCATCCATAAAGATACAGAACACAAGCTGGGTGGGACATACATTTCACTGGTCAAGTCTCCTTGGGCTTATTTGTATCCTGCATAGTCCTACATCGTGTTTCAGGTATTTCTAAGCTTCAGACTCTTAACAACATTAATGTTCATATCTGACTGTGTTCAAGTATCTGCCCAGGTTCACATGTACATGGAGGCTGCTTTAGGAGATTTAAGCAGAGTCAGGCTTTCAGGGTTCTCTGCCATTTGCACCTTATTTTAAAACCTTTTGCAGGTGGTAGGAAATCAGATCCTACTTTAAGAATAATGAAATCTGCTTCAGGAGCAACAAAACCGCAGTTCATCCCAGCTTTAACAGATTTTGAGAACTGATAATCCCTTAAAATACAAAGGAAAAAAAAATGCTGCAACCTGATAACTCTGTAAAAAGTCAAGTCACAAAGCTCTATGAGAATTAATACAACACACTTTGGTACACGAATACAGAACACAACTTTACATACATTCTTCACCACTTCTACACACAATTACACCAAAGGTGTCAAAAGCTTATTACCAGAAGAAAACAGACCCTCACAGACAGAAAATCTGTGGAGCCAGGTGACTGCTCATTTTACTTCAGGAATGGGGACATTTTTCTGATCCACTACATTATTTTAAGGGCTGCCTAAGAGCCTGGAAATAGTACCAAAGGTTCTCATTTTGTCACTGTGTTGAACGAACAAGAGCTGGCGTGAGACAGCACAAGGAAAGTCTATGGACAGCTTTGAAGTGTTTCCTTAATCCTCCAGTTCATGGAATGAGAGCAGATTGTAACCCAAGTGAACAGAATTCTACTCAAACACCTTTATATTCTTAGAAAAGCAACTGATACAGGTCTGAAAATACAACCAGGGAGACAATGCAAGACAAAATTAAGGACTGAAGTAAAAAGTTTACCTTTCGGATCTGATTCGTAGTCAACATGATGACATCAGTCCCTTCATGAAAGCACTGAGAGGCCGCGAGGTAACCGATGCGCTGCAAGGGGCAAAGAAGCAAAGCAACACTTGTAAAGTCAGTTTAGACAATGTTTAGATGAAAACAAATGGCAGCTTTAAAACTAGTATTAAAAAGATGAACAATTAGCAGGAGGTTTGCGTAACAGAAGAGGCATGACAAGGCTCTCTAGAAAAGGGGGTTTATATCAGGAAAGAATAATCTCAGAGAAGCAACATCTCTAGGGATGATACATCTATCTGTGTTAAGGATAATAAAACAAGCTTCACCTTCTCTACATTGTTAGAAGATAAAGATACAGTGACCCCAAAGATGTAGAAATAAGGCAGGATTGTCAGTAGAAGGAATGGAGAACATCACATTTATATTGTCTGTGTTAACTCCTGACCTTCAGGTACTAAAGCCCAATCTGGAAACTATTCCTTAGACACTAACATTCCACCCTGTTCGGTGAAAAACGTCTGCAACACAAAGCATGAACAAAACTCTCAAAGAAACATTATAAAACTCTTCCAAAATAAAACAGGATTCCTGCTACAAGGAATCTTAGAGGGACTTCACATAAAAATACCCTGTTTCTTCATGAAGGACACATAGATATTGCCAAACATCCAGTAGAAAAAGGCTAGCCAAGCAGGCCAAGCATTACCCTTAACTGAAACAATGACTAGTTGCTTCCCTTCCGTATTGCAGAAAGCAAACCAAAAGATGATGTCCCAATGCTTGGCTGGTACAGCTGTAGCTACACAGAGAACTCACTTTGAATGTAAACTTTGATGCACTCATGACTTCAATGATGTTGAAAGCAGCCCAGCTGATGTCGTAGCCCAGCATCTGTAACTGTGAGCAGAGAAGACAAAATAACAACCTTCTGAAGTAAGAGACTCAAGAAAATAGGTCAAGACTCCTCACAAAAGTGAAGATGTAACAAGAGTCCAAAAATGATACTACAGGATTTCTCAAGTTCACGAGGAATGTTACATTCTACGCCACTCACAGGAAGGCAAACGAGCCTTGACGTTCCACCAGAAGCAAGATTTAAACAGTTTGCATTAATTCCAGGTAACACACAGTGATATGAACAGTGGGAAGGAGGGTTTTCCTGGCTTTTTTATTTTTTATTTAAATAAAGCCCAGAACAGAAGCACAGAAGTAATTCTTTAACAGTATTCCTCTCCCCAACAAAGGACAGCATAAAGAGAAACAACCAGTCCCAAGTGCTCAGGCAACTACTGGATAAGAAACAATCCAGCTGAAAACAACTTTTTAAAATTGGGTTAGTTTTAAGTCAGAGCAGCTTCTTGAGCTAACTCAACAAAATACAACTGCACCAATCCTAGTGCCAGCACAATAAACAGGATACGAATGTGCAGCTCCTGCTGTCAGGCACACGTGGGAGCATCTTCACCTGCACCAATTTGAGCAGGCACCCAGATCAGAGACTGGCTGCCAGTCAGCAATACAAAACCAAAGATGGGATTGCAGCATAACCCAGCCAGGCACTTACGTATGTAAGTTTGCAGACTGCATTTGCCTTCACTGCAATGTTATCCTGCTTGAGCTCCTGCTTGATTTCATCAATGCACTGGGAGATGTATTTTGCCTGAGGAAAAAAGAAACAAGAATTTGGGCTCATTTACCAGTTTTGGAGATTTGTAGCATGTTACTGGGGAGAAGCAGCAGAACTCACCATGTGCAAGCACCAAATCCCACACACGCTATTTAGGTAAGCACCTGATTGATGAAACTACTCATTACCAAGAAACATCCCAATTCTATTACAAACACAAAAGCACACAGATATTTCTTCAGTGGTTTCCCTTCGCCCTCACAATTACACTGTTGAGTCCACAACTCGAGTTCCAAAGATTTGTTCCATTATCTACTATGGGGTCTGAACAAAACCCTGAGTTCCACCATCCCTGGAACACACACTGGTCACTCACCTCAATGGGAAGTCAGAGATCATTGCAAGTCTATAAAAAACTATGTCAAACACTATTAACAGCCCACACGTTTAAGGTGACTGGTGAAAATACACTCTATGAGTTACTCTTTTTTTAGGGCACACTCTATTTGGATGGCACTGCAGAGAACACAACAGTCAGACTCATAATCTGGTCTAGGTTGGAGGGGGCTTTAAAACTCACCCAGTTCCATCGCCCTGCCATGGGCAGGGACACCTCCCACTAGAGCAGGTTGCTCCAAGCCCCTATGTCCAACCTGGCCTTGAACACTGCCAGGGATGGGGCGGCCACAGCTTGTGCCAGCGCCTCAGCACCCTCCCAGGGAAGAGCTTCTGCCTCAGAGCTCATCTCAATCTCTCTCCTCTGGCAGGTTAAAGCCATTCCCCCTCGTCCTGTCCCTACAGGCCCATGTCCAAAGCCCCTCTCCAGGTTTGCTGTAGCCCCTTTAGGCACTGGAGCTGCTCTAAGGTGTCCCCTTCAGGAGCCTTCTCTTCTCCAGCTGCCCCAGCCCAGCTCTCTCAGCCTGGCTCCAGAGCAGAGCTGCTCCAGCCCTCGCAGCAGCTCCGTGGCCTCCTCTGGACTCACTCTGACAGGTCCACATCCTTACACCTCAGGAGACACAGCACAGATCTCATGCAGAACATACGAACATCTAGCTGTAACCCTTGGCATCTATCCCAGAGAGGGCAAGGACAACCCCCTCCCTGGTTCAGGACTGGGATGAGCGATTGTGCCATTTACACAGTTTGATAAGCAACAGTTATTTATATGAATTCCCCAAGATTCAGAGAGCAGATGTCACAATGTTTCCATTGAAATATTGGTCCTTCATTTCTTTTCAAACAATCACATGTGCTTGTAGAAGGGACGTGGCAAATGCATGATTTATAAAGTAAAATCTGTACAGGTACCTTTAAGTAGGGTTAGCTCAGGCAGAGATCCTTTGAGTTCACAGTTAGTTATGGTTTAAGTACTGAAGGTATCCACTACAGAAATCATTAAATGCAGATAAATACTCTCTCTTTAGAAAGCCACGCATGCACTAGGGCATTTCACATTCCATAAAATCAATCAACTGCCAAAGGAACCAGGTCAGAAACAGATTACCTGGTTTCAAAATAAAAACCTGCCTGAATACCATTACCTTCCACCAAAAGGGTATTTTCAACACAGAACTCCACTGGCCTGCCTTTAATTAACATTTACACTAAATTTTGTGTATTATCCCGACCATTCTTGTAGGCTTTTACAAATGCCCTAGGGTGATCCTCACACTTCAAGTCCTAAAAGCTTGCTGCTAGAAGCAGAGAAAGTTCTTTTTACTGTCACCTGCTATTTATTAAAAAGAAATTTTACAAGGTCTGTAGTGCGGAGGGACACTGCAGTGATCCAGGGGAGGAGAGGCAGCAAGTGAATTTTAATGCAGGGACTTCATACTGCAAGCAGCAGTCACCTAATGACAATTTACGCTGCTATCATTCAGAGTTTAGTAAGCCCAGAGTTAAAATCCACCATGGGGGTGCGTGGTGAACACGTAACTCGAAGGAATGGCAGTTCCACCGGTTTAACAGCTTCTATAGAAGCAGAATAATGTACCTGCTTTCGTCTCCTACCTTGACTTGCAGAGGGAGAAGGCTGATGTAAGCGTGTAACCACAGCACAGGTCAGCGCCTCCATGGCACTGGTAAGCTCAAGTGAAACCACATTTGTCATCTTGAGATTTCTACTAATAGTCTTTTTTGACCTTCACAGAGCTCGTGTGTGACCCATTTCCCTGCTCTCCAGCATAACCCAACTCAGCAGGTTTGATGGAAGAAAACAGGAGATGAATTTACTTGAAGAAATTTAAGATATTCCTAAATGCCTGTATTTGGGATAGACATACCATATTTGCAATGGGAATTTTCATGTCAGGAGGATGTGCTAAACACCAACCAAACCTTTCCTCTAAGGAGATACCCACGTGTCCTTCTGGATAAGGGGAAAGTGAGTCACATGTGCCAAAACCAGAGATGGCCTTGCCCCGAAATGCTTAACAGCATAGAGTCCACGTGACACCTCCCCAGAAGCAGATTTGGGATTCTAAACTCTTCACCTGAGTGTGATTCAGGTCCAGACAGCTCCCATAGGAAGTTTAAACTAAAAAGCAACATCTGAGAGTAGAAGATAAATACTTGATCCAAGACACCGAACAAACAATGTCTACAACATGCAACTGATCTACAAACACATTGTACCTTGCCTTGAATATTTTATGCCCACAGAGAAGCATGCTGGAACAGTGTCACCAAATTCTTCCCCTGTGCATCTCATTGCCACGTCTTGGTCAGTAAGGTCAGCACTGGTGTGCAGTGCTGAACACTAACATGCAGGTTCTTTATGTCCATAACCAGAAAGCAATATCATTATTTCCCACAGTATCTATCCCCAAACTATTTAAACATTAGCTTAAGTTTCCTGGTGACCCCTTGGAAGTTGAATGCAAACCACTGTGGACGAGGAGGGGGAAAAAAAAACCCAAACAAAAACTCCTAAAGATAAAACCCCCAGAAAATAGAAAAGTTCAGTAACATCCAGTCCAGCACAGCCAAACACAGGCTCCAAGTCAGCAGCCACACTTGATGGCCCCAGCAGCCTGTAGGCAAACCCTTCCCTACTCGTGAGCCTGACACAGAATCCCAGACTGGTTTGGAAAAGACCTGAAAGTTCATCCAGTTCCAACGCCATGACACAGGCAGGAACACCTTCCACTAGAGCAGGTTGCTCCAAGCCCCTGTGTCCAACCTGGCCTTGAACACTGCCAGGGAAGAGCTTCTGCCTTAGATCTCATCTCAATCCCATGTTTCAGTTTAAACCCATCACCCCTTGTCCTATCACTACAGTGCCTGATGAAGAGTCCCTCTCCAGCATCCTTGTAGCCCCCTTCAGACACTAGAAGCTGCTTTGAGATCCCCACACAGCTTCTCTTCTCCAGGCTGAACATCCCAATGTTCTCAGCATGTCTCCATATGGCAGATGCTCCAGCCCCTGACCATCCTCCTGGCCTCCTCTGGACTTGCTCCAACAGCTCCATGTCCTTCTTATGCTTAGGACACCAGAATTGCACAAAGTGCTCCAAGTGGGGTGTCACCAGAGCACAACAGAGGGGCAGGATCACCTCCTTCGACCTGCTGCTCACGCTCTGGGCATGCAGCGCAGCACCTGGGGGGTTTCTGGGCTCAAGCACACACTGAAGCCGGGTCATGTTCAGTTTCCCATCAACCAACACCCCCAAGTCTTTTTCCGCAGGGCTTCTCTGAATCACTTAATGAGCAACCGCTGGAAAAGTGTATCACAGAACTGGGAATCAGATCGGAAACTAAAATCATAGAATCATAGAATGGTTTGGGTTGAAAAGGACCTTAAGATCATGTAGTTCTGACCCCCTTGCCTTGGGCAGGGACACCTTTCTCTAGACCAGGTTGCTCCAATCCACATCCAACCTGGCCTTTAACACTGCCAGGGATGAAGCATTTAACACTTCTTTGGGCAACCTATTCCAGGGATTTTGAAGAGCAGAAAGAAGTCCTTCCAAAACAGCTGTACCTCAAATCCTAAAAGGCTACAAGGAACGAAAGACTATATATAGAAAGCTTTAAAGGATCAGCAGGTATTAACTTTTTGTTAATCTCTCTGGAGCAGCACTGCCATGAATGAGAATATGAAGAAAACTGATCTATTTAGTCTAACACTGAAATCTGAAACCCAACCACCCGAACCAGATTCACTGCCACATTTACCATCTACATACTGAAAAGGAACAAAGTATCTTGCCATTTCCCAGCACTGATTTCCTAATAGTTTTTGCATAAATCCTTCAAATACAGCTATTTCCTAGCGTGGTAATTAAAAATAAGTATTTCCCAGGATATAACTGGCTCAGTTTTTCCTTAAGCACTTTCGAGATCCCATGAAGAAAGGAACGCAAAAGGAAAATACTTCACCGTTCATTTATGCTCACAGTATTCATTATAGAATCAACCGTGCTGGAAAAGACCATCAATATATTTCTTAACTACCAACTCCTTGCTAATTCTGTGACAGTGTTATTTGAAGTCCTGCCAGGAGGCTATTCCATCGCTCCTATATTTTGGCCGGTCAGCTGAGGAACACTTTTAAGTCACAATATTCACAGACCTTTGGACATCCCCCAGGCAAGCAAGGCCATCCTAAGGCAGCCTTTCACTCCCGGAGCAGCCAGAAGAAGTGGAGCCATTAAGGGGAGGAACACCCCCCTCAGAACGATGGCAGTGCAGGCAAAGCTGTGAGACTGCAGTCAGATGAAGGGCAATATGATAACATGGGAAAAGAGCTGAGAGGAGCTCTTTTATTCCGGTGAGGCTGCCAAGTGGGAAAGGAGCCGTTCCCAACACAGTGGAAAAGGCTCCTTAATGAAACACTACAGCACGCACTCGGGTGGTTGTTTTCTCTTGCATATCCCACAGAAGGAGGAAGATGACAGGAACACACTCGGAGCAGTGCAGCTAAACCCATGCAGATGTGAGCAGTGAGGACCCAACCAACTGGGAATACAGCACAAAGTCAGAACTGTCATTACTTAATGGTTCCACCAAGTAGATGCAGTAAGCATGTTATACCCATTAACAAAATACATAATCTAATTCTTAAAATAAGCCCAAATTCCTCAAGAATTCAAAGACCTCACGCAGAAACTATGTGCATTTACGTGAGTGCAAGTAGCTGAAATAAGAATGAAGGTATCACAAATCAAAGCCAGAATCCTTTTGAAACAGAGGAAGGGAAAAGTGGGTCATGGTAAGAAGTCAAAATGTCAGTTTACAGCATTTTTCACTTCCCAACCCATGTTTTTTGAATTAACTTTGAAGAAGACTAAAACTTTATTATTCCAAGCTCTGGCCAAGACAATTTTTGGGATTTGCTGATTTCAGAGACGTTCACAAAAAGCCTCAAAGCAATACATGAATGAACCTCAGCAAGCCAAACCCAGCAGAATCCTCCACCAAAGTCCTTGTCAGGACCCAGCCTCAATTTATGCGACAGGCTGCTGCTGATTTGAGGTTCAAACCTGTCACTTACTGCAATTGCAAAGAACTTTCCACTTCGATAAATCAGCAAAGTGTCACTGAAAATTAGTCCCTGTTTCTCTTGCACTTTCAGGGTTAAATATAGTGTATCAAGGAAAGGATGATCAACAGTGAACACCACAAGGAGCAAGATAGGATCTGATATAAATGTGTAACTACCCCATTCTAAACCAGAAAAAGTTTGGAATAAGTAGAATGTAAGAATAAGTAACTGAAATAAGCACAAAATATGATGTGTGTTTTAAGCAATGTAGGATTTATAATTTTTTGTAGGACTGAGACAAGCTCCATGAAATTATGCTGAGTGCAAGCACATGATGATCTCACATGGGTAAGATGCCACTGCTTCAAGTGAACAGCATAGTAGACTAACTTCTGTCATATATACCTAAAAATACTATTTAAATACCATAGAAAAGGCTATTTGAGGTAACAGGATCCTTTGTTAAAGGTACCTCATGGCTGGATAGAAAGAGAATTGCACAGCACACACTCCCACTCAGTAGTGATCTCCCAGCCACCTTAACTAAAACCATAAAGCAAGTGAAGCAGGTAAGCATGTAACAGTATAAGCAGTAACTGAGAAATTGCACAGCATTCATTTCAGCAGGTTTGCAGCAGCCAAAATAAAATGGTGCAGAGGGTAGTCAGATACAATAAAGAACCCAGAACACGTTACAACTTGAAAGGCATTATGAAAAAGCCAAGTCTATCTTCTACTCAGCTGTTGAGAACCAGCATTGCTATAGATGTTTTAACATGTCTTAGCTTGCCTTTGGGACTCAGCTTTCCAGGGATTTATTCACCCATCTTCTAAGTAGCCTGAAGATCCCAGATCAATGTATTGTTCTCATCAGTGATAAATACTGGAGGGATGAAGGTGAACCATTGCCACTTCATTTGCAGCTATAGATATCTAAATATATATATAAATAATACAGTCTTCACCTGTATTATTTATCAGAACCATGATGCATGACGCACAGCACCCTGAAGTGAGATAAGAATCCTTTGGCCAAATGACACTGCTGGAGGCACGTGAAAAATCAATTTACACTTTTTTCTTTTCTGAATGTTTCCTGAAGTTACACATACCAACAGGAACTTAGTGTGATGCAGCCTATAAACCTATGAAAACCTTTGAACCTCATTTTAACAATTCACAGAGATGCCATGCAAGTAGTGTGCACCTTCCAGTTTCAGAGCAGATACTAACCAGCCCCAAACAAACCACCACAGCACCATAAGGCACTGTAGGAAACCCACAGGCCCCTGAACAGTTGAAATACTCACACAAAGAGCACCTATGCTGGAAGCCAGAGCACAGCTATGCAGCAGCAAAGTGGGTATTAGATAGCAAAGCCCAAAGAGTCCAGCAGAAACGAGTAAGACAGTATCATCAGCAAGGGTCTAGAGATGGCCTTGAATATCTCCAGTCTGATCAGTCCCCGAATATAAATACTCCAGTCTGATCACAGTATTTGTTAATTTAATTGCACAGCAATTAAACAATCCTCAGGGGCCTATGCTACCTAAATCATCTCTGAGCAGACAAATTTTAAGAGAGTGTGTCAGATCCCTGCAAACACAAATTTGTTTTACATTGCAATGCAAAAAGCTCTGCAAATACTTTTACAGTAGATTTAGGGCGATTTAGATTAGATTAGGGTAGACGTTCTTCCCTGTGAGGGTGCTGAGGTGCTGGCACAGGGTGCCCAGAGAAGCTGTGGCTGCCCCATCCCTGGCAGTGTTCAAGGCCAGGTTGGACACAGGGGCTTGGAGCAACCTGCTCTAGTGGAAGGTGTCCCTGCCCACGGCAGGGGGTTGGAACTGCATGAACTTTAAGGTCCCTCCAACCCAAACCAGGCTGGGATTCTATGGTTTTTCAATTTCTTAGTTCCAGGCATATTTCTGTGCACAGTCCCAGGCTTTGATAAAGGCAGACTGTTACAAGCACGCGGTTTGTTGTATGTACAAGGAAGCAGTCACATCCTTCCAAGGAACTCAAGTAGCTGTTGTTTCCAAGACTCAGCTGACTGGAATCACAGTTCAGAGGGAAATATCCCAAAAGAAGATGATTGACAATCTATTAATACCATATCAAAACATAACACTGAAAATATTTCGAAGATGTAACACTGATTTACACAAAGCTACGAGCTCTTTTCAGTTATGGAAAGGTAGGAAGGCCAATAAAGAGATGTTTCATGGCCATCACTGACTTCTTAAATTCAGTACCAAATACTTGTGTAATTAAGATAAACTTGTTTCCCTACTCCCTGCTGTACTGCCCACTAAACAAACGTACATTTCTCAAGGCTGAAGCTTACTCATACTGTGATAGCTGGAGGTGATAGTTTATGAATCCTGAATTTGCCATGAGGAACTGAGCCCACCAGAAGAAATCTTCAACATATCCACAATGATGCCTACTTCTCTTTATACACCTTCAACACACACATCTTTCAGCGAAAGCTGACAGCTTTGAACATCTACCCCATAAAAGAAATAATAATAAAAAAGAAACAGGTAACACAAGACCCAGCACTCAACTATGAGGTCTCCAGACTCCATTTGATCAGCCCACAGCCAGTGACTGGGGAGGTAAGTGGTATGAATCAAACATGTTTTCACACCCAGTTACATGCCAGGATTCAACAGGACTCAAGTATTTTGGGTGTTTTGAATGTATGCTTCTTATTTAAAAGCACTCAACCACCTTTATGAGCTCCAACACTGCCATTAACTGTTGTTTTCTGCACCTTTTACTCAGTATCTTTATACTTCCTGCCACCTGGATTTAAGCAGACTCCCCTTCAGGTAATCAAGCATTTTACTTTTCAGCATGAATGATCAGGCTTTTTAATAACGTAAGGAACACAAATGCTTCTTTGTAACTTGTCCCATGACTTGGTCTTTCTGATGTATGTCCTTCAATGCTTCCCTTGCTGTTCTTCACATTGCACCAGAAACAGGATGCGCTACCAAAGAACACTTTTAAGTGAGAAACCTAAAGGTACTCTTTGTACACCACACAATATTCACTAACCTACATCATAGAGGAAGAGGTTTTTCAGTCACTTTTGTGGACACTGACAACATTAGAGGGAATCACACAAACCCCCATTTTATGTGCTATGCACTGGGACAAAGATCTGCATCAAAAAGCATCAAACAACTCTCTGAAGATGACCACAGTACAGAAATGCCATTAGTATTTCTGTTCTACTTTGATTTTTCTGGCTGTTCTTCCACCAGCCTCACAAAAGGTGCACTGAATGGGCACTCCATTTCTTAGGAGGAGGTACCAGAAAGCTCTTCCTCTCCCCTGGACCTGCCTCACCCATGCAAGAAAGCAATCTGTCTGGAGCCCTTCAAACCCTCAGAAGAGGCAGCTACAAAACAATCCAGACTGGGACCAAAGCATTAGCCCCACTGGTGACACAGCCAATTAAGTAATGTTTAACACAGGAGAAAGCAAGAAGCTAATGAAAGGCAGCACTAATGCAAAGCCACAGCTGCAATCTGCTTGTAATCATACAAGAAAATGCCCACATCTTGGCTCTTGTTCATGGCTCCAGGCCCTTCATTTTCCATGACACAGCAGGTAAGGCAGGGACACTGTCACCTCAGGCCCTGCTACCTTGGAGGCCAGTACTATTCTGCTTTTCTTACCCATTGGTGTGAGGTCCTTATCCAACCCTCCTTTGTGTATTGTTTCTATATCCGACTTTGTCTTTTACAGTGATTCACACGCTCAAAGAATTAACAATAGCAACTCCAGAGCCACTTGAAAGTGGGTGGAATAATGAGCTCCCTTCAAAGATATTAACACACATATGACAAGCAGTAACTGATCAAGCAGCAGTGCCTGAAAGAGCTGTCTGTCATCAATGAACTGCATGCTGCTTATCAGTTGGGCTGGATTTTCACTCTTAGGCACCAACAAGCTTTTTAGCATTCCTCAAAACTCCCTTATTACATTCCATTCCATACCCTTTACCATTAGATACCAATACTGCAACAGTGGCTCGAGGCCAAACCATTGGAAGACCATGGCACTAGATGGTCTTGAGCCTCATTTCATGACAGGCTGTGCTCAGAAGACTTTCATGACTTTAAAAGATTCCTCAAAATTCCTTATACCACCGTTTCATCTGAAAACAGCTCAGAGAAGCAGCAGGATTGTGCCATGGAGTGCAGCAGCCCTTTCTTTAGGGGAAAAGGGTTTTCAGCAATAGGAGTGCACTGTCCTTAGGTAGCAGTTGCTAAGAAGTGAGGACATGCTGCCAGTTTGGTAAGGCCAGTCTCTGGGCAGTGAAATACCTATTTCACAGCATGGACACACAACATACCTCTCATTTAGCATGGTATTAGTAACTGAAAGTAATTCTTAGTTTTTCCAGATCAGAAACACCGATTGCTCCTTTCGTTATTCTAACTTGTTTCTGCACAAAGCAACTTCTAAAAGGCAAAGCAGACATGAGATACTTATCACCAAACACTCTACACAAGAAGATGTGGACTTTTTAATATCCTTTTTCTTGAAAGTGTTGATTACCAAAAGCGTGAAGGGCTAATCCTGAGGCACACACCACCACATTCTCCGGCAGAAGAGGGAGGCAATTTTCTCAAGTTATGAGGGAAGTACACAGACATTTCGTACAAGATGTTATTTAACCCCTTCTCCCTTCTTAAGTGTCTTTCAGTAAATCAAAGACACTTGAAACACAGAGGATCTGAACAGGACAAAGCAGCACTCGTTTAAGAGCTCTGTTTCTGTATTTTATTTTAATTTCAGTTTTCTGAAGGAACCTCTCACCACAGCATCTGACAGTAGCTTGGAAGAAACAAACTTAACTGCAAATGAAAGCGCCAAATAACACCAAAGGATTATCCCTTCCTTTACTTCACATTCAGAAGACCATGTCTGAACAGAAATCATTTCTCAGTTTGGAATATCTTGGAAAAAAATCTATTATACTTCTAAGAGCCTACGGTACAAGCCATTCCCCTCCTGAGCTTGCTGCGTAGCGGATCCATAAAAAGTAGCTCCAAAGTGGGAAAAGTTTTGTCAGAGTACAAACCCGCCTCATAGCAGGTGAAAGGCTTATCAGTGTCATTAGCAAAAGGATTCATGTTCCAAGTGAGAGAATGAGATGCTAGAAGTGAAGGTCAGGGGAGAACCCAATAGGATCAAGTCTTCCTTGCAGGTTTGGCTTTCCCTTAAACTTTGAATTGGCACTGGGAAGCACCACAGGGATTAAAGCATGTGTAGAGTGTTGGAAAGTAAACACAGCACGTCAAAACAGGAAAAGATCTAATACTGATGTGCTACCTCATTCCTTCCACACTAGCATTTACTTTGCAGAAGGATGAGGCAGCTCAAATTTTCCTCAGAAGACTGGAAAATGGACAGAGTATGTCTCACAGAAAAGTGACTGTGCTAACCAACTCCTGTCCTTACCTCCCATCTTGCAGAAGGCTTTCAGTTTCAGTGTTTTAAACTCCAAGTAAATGGGTCAGCTTTGGATACAGACCAGAAACTAAAACCAAAGTGGTCTCCAACAGGTAATTAAGCACTCTGCAAGAAGAATGCGAAGTCAAGTGCCAGGCAGCCTCCCATAGCCCCTCAGTTCTCAGCGAGCTGAAGAGGACACTTAGAGGTGTGGTGCCCCATGTACTTCACAACCAGCACTGGGGTGTGCAACAAGCAACACAGGGTGAACACATATCCAGCAAGGGAGAATGCAGCAGTTGTGTCAAAAAGCTGTATTGAGAAACCCAGTGGTGACAACCATTTGGTGCATCCTGCACTACACACACATCCTTGATGCGTCAGTGAAATAGCAGCTACACTGGCTTGTGATGGTACCTGAGCAGGAACTGGGAAAAGAATAAATCTTACTATCTCCTATCTACCAGGAGAGACTGCCCAGAAAGATGAGGGAAAAAGTGATGGCAGAAAATCCACATGATTAAATTCCAAACAAGAACCAACATACACAACAGAAATTAACCTTCTGCATAACTAAATCAGAAGTCAAAGCAATGATCATGCCTTCATTTCTTTCCATGTCATTTTAATTACCTCCTTTCCAGAGACATCTCTTTCATACAGCGCCTCTGTTGAGCTGAGACCAACAGCCAATATCCTCACCACCAAAGCATGCTGCTGATTGCTTTAAACAAATTTGCTCTTCTGAATAGGACAGAACATCTGTCTTAAGCTTAAACACTTATCCTGAGACCCACAAATGTTGAACAACTACAGTACTGGAGCAACATGTAATAGATACAATGAACAGTGGAAGCACTGTAGGAAAAGAAGGAAGAATTTTTGTAGCTACTTCCTCTAGAACACCATTCTGATTTTGGAATGTCACTTGAAAAAAATCACTAAATGCCCATGACCACTGACTTGGAAGCACTGAATGAACCCACAGCATTTTAACAGCAGAAGGTTTAGAGCCCGCTTCAGTTTGCTGAGCTAGAAAAGGAAGCAGTTCTATGTTGTTTGCAGCCACTCTATGTGATTTAGCAAAATCTTCGAGGGATTCTAAAACAGACCATGCTACAAAAGACACACATTTCATCACTACAACATCCACACATGAACCTGAAGTTCAGGTTTTAATTTTTGCTGTGCACACAAGGATATAAAAAGGAACTATCCCTACAGTTATCTGCTGTAAAATCTCACAGCTTCCATTTCAAACTAAAGAGCTACCATCCATCATTTAAAATACTCTCATGCTACAGTCCAACTATTGTCATTTACATTGGCCTCTTACAGCAAAAGATAACACATTTGCTTTGCCCTCACTGAGTCCTAGGGAGGGTGCCTACCGGTATAACAACTTCCTTCAGGTACACAGAGCTCTACTAAATAGTCTGAGGAGTATTTTTTCCTATGTCCAAAGGAGATCAAAGCCAGCACATTTTAAATATTTCTCGTCAGAAACTGAGAACAAACTTGGCATGGCTTATGCTGCACAGGAACTTGTTCACCCTGACTGGGTAACAGCACTTGTGCTCTTTCTGAAGTCCTGGAAAAGGAGCCATATGGAACAAAATTACGTTAGAAACGAGAACAGTGCATTCGACCTTCCTCAAAGAGAAGCAGTGCCACGAAGGCCTGGACCGGCCTGGACCTTCCTCAGGGGGATGCTCAGAGGGCTGACACTGACAAAATGTTTCCTGTCCTATGCACAAAAGAGTAGAGCATATTTACTAACAGGAGCATGACACATAAAACTGGGCCTAAGCATGTTATGGGGAGTGCTCTGTAGAAGTGCTGTTTACCTGGTCCAGCTTTGAGTATAACACATTAAATGTCCACATGAACACCCCATTTGCACTTCCCCATGTAGTTTCCCATATTTTGCAGGGCACTGCATGTTCCACAGTAGCACTTTCCTCCTCTGTCACCAAATCAACACCCATAAATTTAATGTAAGTTGAATATAATGCACTAAAAATGTTTCCTACACACAGGACAAGGTGTTACTTACTAAAGAAGCCTAACAGCCACTTGAACATTCAAGCGGTTTGAAAGTTGTGTTTTGTGTTGCAGTCCCGCAGCATCAGTGATGGAGATCATAGCTTTCCAAATTAAGTATTTAATTTAGTTACATGCTTATAACTATTCTAGATACTTTTAATAGCTGATACCATTTGGATATTGTACTTATATGAAGAAACATCATAGCCTGCAGATGTTTTTAGGTTTTGAGCCTGTCACTAACTCCACAGTAACTCACTGATACTCCAGCAAAGTGTAACTGTTAGACCATTCATCAGAAAGCTTCTAAGGCCATAAAGATGAACATAAATGATACCCCTAGTGCCCGTTACTTCCCAATTAACATGTCACACTTCAGTGGGGAAAGTCTCACATAACATGTTCTTAATGACTAATTATTTCACCTACACTAATTTCCTGTTCACATG